TACATCACAGAAACCTGACATTTTAACAGGGGTGTGTGGACTTTTTTTTATCCACTGTATTTGTGCGGGTCCCGCAGCTCCACCACCCGCACAGATGTGAAACAAGCCTAAGGTGTCTTGGTGATAGATCTCTTTTGATGACCCTGTTGTGTCCATCAGGACCTGAAGAAGTTGTTTAGATGGGTAACATTCAGTGGAAGATGTATTAAAGCTGGTGCACACAAAATCTGGTGCAGCTGTGAATAGTAATCAGTCAGCACACAGGTTATATTGTCAAAGCTTTATTGAACAAGCTGACATTTATGCAGGCCATAGATGGTTTGTTTATCAGCAGATCTTTCATCCGAAAGAATAATCGGACGATTTTCGCACTGTTAGTGGGGCAATGGCATCAGCCAATTATCGCGGTTCCTCCTCATTTCATTTATTTGTCATGCTGGAAAATTCATGAAAAACGGCTGATTTTTGCAATCATTGGGGCAACATCGGTTTACAGAATGAACGATGTTTCGTTTTTTCGGACGAAAAATCGGCTGATAAACGAACCGCCTAGGGCCTGCATAACGGCCATTTTACACTACATGCATTTCAGTGTGCTTTTTTTTTTGCATCCAAAACACACAGAAAGTAGGTTATATGGTTGTCAGTGTCATAGTTCACATCACTGCTTGCAGTTCCAGTGCGTTCCAGATGCAAAAAAAAAGAAAAAAAGTATAACAGGCTGCATTTTTCCTGCACAGAACTGTACTGGAACGCTGTAAAACGCACTGGAACGTGCATGTCCCTACTTGGGGAAAAAATGAAAGAAAAAAAAAAAAAACAACGCATCGGAATGCGCCAAAAACACGCATGCAGAAACCCATCCGGAACACATCTCAACTGCGTTTCTATAGTGTGAACTGACCCTAAAAGCTGAATGGCTGCTATGCACAACTGCACTAGATTATGTGTGCACCAGCTTAAGTAAACCTCCCCTTGAACGTAGTAATCAGATAGTCTAGATAGACTTTTTCCCAACCAGACTAACTCTGTAACTATGTGTAGAAACAAACAATCCAACAGTAACAAGCACCTGTAAACTTTGGAAGTTTTTTTTTTGGAAGTCTCAGAGATGTCTGCATATCTGTGGGCAACCTTGCATGTGTGCACACTGATGCCTTTTACAGCTGTCTGTGATCCTTATAATCTTTCTATAAGCAGAAAGAATTTGCAGCAAAACTTTGTCTTTGTTACGTTAGCCTTTGATCCATTATAAAGTGGAACTTCAGCCAAAAGTTAGGGTCCTTTCACATGAGCATTCTGTTTTTATTTCTTCAGTTCAGTCACATTTTTCAAAGAAAAAAAAAAAAAACAGATCAGTTTTTTTCATCAGTTTCTCGTAAGTTTTTACATCAGTTTTTTACATCCTTTACCAATGCAGAAACAGATTCAAAAATGGATCTGATGTCCATTTACATCCGTTTTTTTTGTCCATTCTGGGGTTTTCTATGGAAGAAAAATTTTTTTTTTTTTTCCATTCAAAAAAACGGATGTTGAAGCGGAGTTCCCCTCACCCTGTCAAAAAATAAATCAGCAGCTACAAAAACTGCAGCTGCTGACTTTAAAAAAACAGCCACTTACTTGGTCCTCAGTCCTGCAGTGTCCCCCCCTGCAGCCCCGCAGCCCGTTTCACCGACCGTCCTGCATTCCAGGAGGCTGGCATCTTCAGAGTGGGCATTCAGCTGTGCAGTTTGTGGCTTCACAGCCGGGTGCCCACTGCACATGTGCGAGTTGCACTACGCTTCGCGAATGGTCCTGTAGTCTTCTGGGACCTGTCATGTGTCCCAAAAGACTACAGGGAGGGAGGGAGGACACCTTCTGCTTCCGATCACCTAGGCAATCGGACTGGGAGTGGGTACCTGTCAAATTCGGGTACCCGCCCCCCAAAGGTGCCAATGCTTAATGGGTAACGGGAGAGCAGTCCTTAAAGCGGAGCTTCCCCCTTTGGTTGAGCTCCGCTTTAACGAATGCAGACATTAACGGATGTACACCGATGATCATCCTTTACATCTGCTAGTCCATAGAACTACATGGGGGTGTCCGTTTTTCATCTGTAAACGGACAGATGAAAAACGGACTTATGGAATGCCCATGTGAAAGGACCCTTAACGGTTTGTATAGAGTAGGGAAGGGTTGGAGCCTCAGTAATGTTTTTATTGCTGTCTGTGCCTCCATTGCCTCTCTCATGTCTTTTTAACCCTCTAGGACATAAAGTGAGGTTAGAAGAAGTGTTAAAAGATCTGTTTTTTTTAACTACTATCTTTGAACCTAGTAGGAACATTCCCCAATGCTTGCCATCATGTGATGGTGAGGGGTTGCAGACAGCAATAAAAACCATTCCACATTCTATCTAAAGCTAGAGTTTCACTTTAGTGCTTTTCATAGCATTTTATTTTTTTATTGTGTTTTTTCTGCTACTGTCAAAATACATCGTGGTTCCTTTTCATCAGTTTGGACCGTCTTTTTAACATTTTTGTATATGGGAAGCAGATCCTGGGTCACTGACCCTAGGATTGCATCTGTGAGGGTGGTGCCGCTGCGGATCCACACAAAATTCCGTACAGCCGCACCACCCGCATAGAGAAATGCGGACCCGTGGGCGGGTGCCATTAGTTCTAATGGCATGCCGCCTGCACTGGAAAACACAACCGTACTGGGAACCGAGGTTCCCGTGTGGACTGCGTTTTCCAAAGAAGTGCAGGGACTTCTTCCTTGCGTGTCATGGGGCACGGGAGTCCTTTCAAATGAATGGGCTCTCATGCCCGTGCAAAGCAAGGCCGCATATATGTGAACCAGGGGTGAGATAGTTGTCTGCTGCAGAGGAGCAAAGAGAATGCAGGTAAGTATTTGTGGATTGAGGGATACCCTTTATAAAGATGGGCAAAGTCACAGTGGCCCTTTAAAGATGGATTAAAGAAAGGTGAAATTGATCATTCCTGACTTTATCCCTGCTTGTTAATGTTGGTGAAAACATTTGTGTGCATATACTCTCACATGAGAATTTCCTATTCATGAGTTTATTTTTCTAGTTCTCCTGTTTGCAGTTTACCAAGCTGATGACATTTCAGTTTAAGAACTGATCCCTGATAAGCTGGGTTCTGCGGGGTATGTTAACAAAGCTGTGTACCTTGGTGATATGTTAAATAGTGGAGTGTAATGAAGGGGTTAAGACCTTGAAGCTGCCATTGTAACTAAGCTTGGCACAGAAGTCCGGTGCCAGTCAGCCGCAAACTGGCACATGAGAACTCACGGAGGGGTAGAATAAAGGGATCAGTGACTTGGTGTGTGTGTGTGTCAGCTGAAATCGCATGGCTCAGCACAGGAATAATAATAGATTTTTCTCTCCTCTTCTCTACCTCTCTTCGCTTCACCTCCTTGTTGCGCCTTCTGATTTCTTTACATGCTTCTGTTTGGAACTCCGTTTTACTCCATGCTCTTCCTAACCCTTTGTTTTCACTATGCCCTTTGTAGTCATTTCTTGATGTACAAGTCCAGTGATTTCTCTTGTGTTTCCTCCATCATTGTGTTGTTCCCTCTGTCTCGCACGTTATTTCTATCTACATATTTGGAAACATTGTCTTGTCATGCCTTTTGTCAAGTCCATCTGAGTCCCTCTCTTTTACAGTGTGTTTGCATCATTCTTCCTGCTTTTTCTTGCTCTTTCTCTTCTTTCAGCCCCAATGATGTCCCTCCGTTCTGCTACTTGGGGTAATGTGTGTCCGCGGCAGTTTCTGTAGCTTGTTCTCTTGGTTTGTATGTGTTTAGGGGATTATATGGGGGACACAGCCGAGAGACGCAAGTCAGTGATGCATGTATATGGGACACAGTGTTTGCACATGTGTGTGGGTGCACTTTGACGCTCGCTCCTACATAGTTGCAGCATGCCTCTTTACATGGATACTTGAATACATAAGGCCCATGTTCTTTACACTACATACATGTACACATCTGTGGCATGCCTCATCCATGCCACATGTCAGCACGGGCACGAAGAACTTGAAATATGCACTTTTCCTCTGGTGATTAGGTGAACTTTTGTACAAATACCCATTTTCCTAGTTAGATGGGTGACACTGACATGACAAGAAAATAACAATTCTTTTATTCTTTTTGTTTTTATGCCTCCACACAGAATGACTCATGGAGCGAGCTGTACTCTTTCGCCCTGTTCAAGGCCATGAGCCACATGCTGTGCATTGGTTATGGGCGTCAGGCCCCAGAAAGCATGTCTGATATTTGGCTTACAATGCTGAGCATGATAGTGGGAGCTACATGCTATGCCATGTTCATTGGACATGCCACAGCTCTCATCCAGTCACTGGACTCGTCCCGAAGACAATACCAAGAAAAGGTGAGTTTGCTTGTATTAATGACCTCATGTCCATTGCACCTATTATGAATAATCTTGGTGGTATTATATTACATTACAAATATAACTTTTGCATTAGGTGTTCAATCCATTTTTTATGGATAGTACATTTTTTTTCATGTTTTTTCTTTCCCTTGACACATTATTGGCTGGTGTGCCTACCACTGATTTCTCTGAAATAGGAAACAGCTGACTGCCTCTTCTTTTTCTTACAAGCGTCACTGGATATCATTGCCTGTGGCAGATCTGACAGGAAATGATCCAAGCTTTTGATACCAACCGAGTGAGGGGGAGTACTTTATAATCTGATATAGAAAAAAAAGGATTGATAAAAATGCATCACTAGGAAAACTTACCTACCAGACCAGCATCAATGATTATTTACTTACTGCTGTTGTTACTGATATGACTTTAAAAGTTTGCCTGGAACACAAAAGTAGCTTTTATACTACAAGTGGTTCAAATATAGCATCTTCGTTTAATTATCAATAAGTAATTAAAACATCATAATGAGATCTGTTTAATGCTGCATATGTTTCCTGTGTGTATTTGACGATTGTCTTTTTTGCAGTACAAGCAAGTTGAGCAGTACATGTCCTTCCACAAGCTGCCTGCTGATTTTCGCCAAAGGATTCATGACTATTATGAGCATCGATACCAAGGGAAGATGTTTGATGAAGACAGTATTCTGGAGGAGCTGAATGAGCCTTTGCGAGAGGTATGGAGCTAGAGTCCAGGAGGGGTATAAAATGAAATTTACGGTAGCACTGCCCTTTGTGCATAATATTACTAGTATCGGGTACCATAAAATTCATGTAGAACGTATGGGAAATTGTATGAATGAATCATTTGTTTAAGAAGGGTCATCTAATGTATGTGGATGCATTATTCAACCATTTTGGTGAACACCGAGCATATACTGTAGACGTTTCTGGTTTGTAAAATTCTGATAGCTAATATCTGTCACGATAGGAATTTTTTTTCATAGACTCTTTTATCATTTACTAATTAACTTCTTTTTGTTAAATATCACATGGCTTCCTTTTAGTTGTGGCCCTATTCATACTATGAAACGTGACAACTGCTATGTGTTTTCACATACGCTGTACTGCACATTTAGACTTAATGCATACTTGCTTATTTTTAAGCTCTTATCAGCTAGTTATGAGCATTTTTTTCTGCCCCTAGTAGCAAATAGTAGTATCCTATATGTCCATGCACACTATTGTAGGCTAGAAGCGTTATTCAAGCTTCAGCTTCTAGGAGCAGAAAAAAAAAAAAACCCTTTTTTTTTTTGCGTTTTTGAGAGCAATTTGCCAGCAGGAAAAAACTCTGAATGCTCAAACACTCCTAACAGCTTTATTCTATTCTTTTTCCCCTGTATTCCAATGGAACACACAGCAATTCTAATAAATAGAATGAGTAAATTACACTCACATTCCTAATCTTCCTACCAGAAGTCAGGGTCTGGAATCAGTAGTCAGGAGTATTTAGTATACTGATATTCCTAGTCATATAATACAGGGTTATATGCAGCTATCATCAGGTGTTTGGACAGGAGTTGGGCTGGTCTGTAATGTTGCTTTGAGCACTAGATCCTGTGTGAGTGCTAATTTTGGTGCATGGTAAATGAGCCATGGGGTGCTCTACAGATCCAGGGCCATTGTCTGCCAGTGGTAGAGCTGGCAGACACTTTGGGCGATGCAAGAATGGGGTCTAGTTCACTTGCTCCTGCTAGCATGGACTATATCTGGCAGGTATGTGCAATGTGGTATCTCTTTAAACATCTCTGCCAAGAGTGTTAGCAATCCTAGGCTAAAGGGGGAGGTGTGTCTTTTCCAACAAGGGGTCATGGCCTAGGACCAGAAGCACTGGTAAAATATCAGATTTGCCACCATTTTGTGCATTTGGGTGAAGAGCTGTCAGACGCTACTGTGTCTATAAAGCCTTCCTCCAGCATGTTTTACTGTTCCTGTGTGGCACGAGAACAGATGTCTTTACTGCGTCTGTGTGGCCTTACTTTTAATCTTTTAGCTGAGCCCAGACATGCTACTTTTCCCTCTTCTGGGTGCACCATCCACCCCGCAAGAGCATCTTCCAGTCCCCACCACTTGGCTGAGTTAGTTTACCTACTTGGGTTCCCAGCAGCCTACAGTGCCTGGTACAGGCGGCTTTCTCTCCCTCTCCGCAGCAGCAAATGTCATGAATACCCCTCTGGAGACACCTTTTGCACTGCACCTGGCGAAGCACAAGGGATAAAGGGATCAGATAGCACCACTGGTTCAGACTCAGCACATGATTGTATGGGGTGTGATAGGCTAACTCCATAGGGCCTGAGTACCCTCTGATAATTGCCACCAGTTTGACGATCCTACCTTCCTCTGATTTCTGCTGGCCCTTTAGATGCACTACCTTTCTCATATTTATCTAGAGAGGAATTTTCTGCCACATGTCTGATTTCATTGGCCACATTTCAGGTCTTATAGAGGCCATAGACAACAGGGGCCACAATCAAGCACTTTCAGTCAATCTCCCTCTTCCCAGGACCATCTTTGAGGCAGACATACTACCTAAGGAGGTGGTAACTGAGAGGAAAATTCCCCCTCTCCTTCTAAGAAATTGAATCAAAATGAGATGTCCTCATCCCAAAACTGATCCAAAGTTTTCCACTTTAACCCCGTAGGACATACCTCTAGCCCTCGGGTTAAAGTTCTTCTACTGGGATGAAAGGATCATTCCAGTATCAAAATTTTCAGTCGGCAAATGGCTTTCATGCATAAATGATCAATACAGCTGCTCGATCACTTCTACAAGGTGAGGAAGAGGTCCCCCTCCTGCTGCCTATACTGGGGTCTCCCATGCGATCGGGAAGCCTAGTACCACTGCTGTTTGGATTTGCAGTGCACTCAGAGCGGAGGAAGGTACATCTGTACCCGCCTACCCTCTGTGATGTAAGAAACCAGAAGCAACAAGGATTTTGTCACTTTTGTTTTCGATCTGATGTTTACAAACTCTACCAGCTTGTAAAGAATCTGATCAAACTAAGTTTGATCAGATGCTTTCAGGGCAGAGGAGAGATTTGGGGAGAAGGCGTATTTTGCTATCACCGCTTCATCTGGATCCACGCCCACATAAGAATAGTACAGCAACTATATAAATAGAAAATATAAATTTCAAGCTACTTATACAGACTATATGATATCAAGAAAATTATACAAATCCATATAGTTATTGGAAACAGTGAAAAAAGAAAAGGAGAAAGAAGAGAGAGAGAGAGAAGAAAAAAAAGGGGGTCCAACATTCATTGAGGTATATCCAACCGGGGGAAGCCATGGGGGGACAAAATAACAGACACACCTGGGGGGAGCTGAACAACATTGAATCAATCAACTTCTCAAGTGTCTTACCTCCATATCATCATATAATCCCCAATAACATACAAGGAAAAGGCATGGAACAAGTCCCGTGGTCCATACAGAAGGAACCTGCTCTAAAGGAAATATATATAAATTAGTCGACTATAACCAAATAAAAAATGGTGTAAATGAGTGATACCCACCCACTATATATACAAATGTGCCGACAGGCTCGCACACTCCACTTAAAGCCTATCATTGTTGACCAGAGTGGGTAAATGAATCAATTGTCATATTATTACTAAACAGATGTATACAATTTTCAGTGATCATAGTCCTTCCAAAAGTGACAAGTAGAATAGTTAATGGCTTCAAGGCTGCTGTGCAAATCAATACAATCCCACTACTCTCATGAACCTCAAACTAAAGCGCCAAGTATCTAAAAGATAACCAAATCCATTCTCACCTCGAAACCAGAGTCGCTCCATGCTCTGCCAGCAGCATACCAATAATGTCTCACATTGTGAGACAGCATTTGAGATGTCCGATGAAATATTGCTAAACGGCTTTTAACCGCAATGAATTTAAATATTATTTTGCTATGTGTATAAATAAAAATTATTTGTGGAAATATTTTGGATTTTAGGTTTAATCTTGGCACTTTTAAAGTCCCTTTATTTTGCTTCTCGCTTCCTTTATTTGGGAAGTGGAAACCATTTGTGGTTCTGACATCTACCTGGTAAAACCTTGTGAATGTGTGAACCGAAGACCATGTAGTGCAAATTTGAGCAACTGACGCCTGATGGCGGATAGCCCAAGATGCCCCCACACTCCTGTTAGAGTGTGCTCTAATCCGAAAGGATGGGATCTTGCCCTTTCAAGCCATGGGCATTAACAGACGGGATGATCCGCGTTACATCCTGCAGAAAGTATGAATCAAGGAGTGAGAAAAAACAGTTTTGAAATCTGACCCTTAATGGTACTTAAGCCCAATTTAATTTCCCCTCCCGATTTGGAAAAAAGACAAATACCTTTCAATCACATTTCTGCAGGTGCCACTTTCTGGCTTCCCACCAGGCAAATAAGATTTCTAGAGCCTGTAATGAAAGCTCCCGGAAGCCGGCTTCCTGGCGCTCAAAAGTGCGGAGAAAACAGGACCCAAGACCCTCTGATCTTACCAGACCTGAGCTTCAATAGCCAAGCCTTGAATCCTAGTGATTGTAAAGCAGGATGCATTATTGGACCCAAGACAATAGGTCTGGGTGGACTGGAAGTATCCAAGGAGTGTCCCCTGCCTGATACACTATGTTGGTGTACCAAGCCCTCCTGGGCTAGGCTAGACTACCACTGTTATCAGTGTTGCCCCCTCCCAGATCCTGCTGAAAGACAAACTGGTCCTTAAGGTGTTACCAGTACATCTACCCTTATTACCAGTGGGACTCTAGACCTGGACACAACCTGTCTAACTTTTTGTAGAACCTGGAATACAGTATATAGACAAAAGTCCATCCAGTTCAACAAAAAAAAAAAGTTCTAATCCTATACTCACAGTTGATCCAAAGGAAGACAAGCCCCCCCCCCCCCGCAAAGCATGATTCAATTTGCTCCTGCGGGGGAAAAAATCCTTCCTGATCCCCCTAGAGGCAATCGGGATATTCCCTGGATCAACTTTAAGTATAATTGTTAGTATCCAATTATATTATATGTATCTAAGAAAGAATCCAGGCCTTTTTTAAAGCAACCCACTGAGCTGGCCAGAACTAACGCTTGAAGGGGTCTATTCCACATTTTCACAGCTTTTACTGTGAAGAAACCTTTCCATATATGGAGATTAAGTCTCTTTTCCTCCAGACGTAAACAGTGCCCCCTTGTCCTCTGTGATAACCTTAAAGTGAATAACTCAACACTACGTTCACTGTATGGACCTCTAATGTATTTATACATGTTGATCATTACCCCCCCCCCCCCCCTTAATCTCCTCTTCTCAAGAGAGAATAAATTCAGTTCCTCTAATCTTTCCTCATAGCTGAGCTCCTCCATGCCTCTTATCAGTTCGGTTGCCCTTCTCTGTACTTTCTCCAGTTCCCCAATGTTCTTTTTGTGAATTGGTGCCCAAAGCTGAACTGCATATTCCAGATGAGGTCTTACTAATGATTTGTACAGGGGTAATATGATATCTCTCTCTCTGGAGTCTATACCTCTTTTAATACAAGAGAGGATTTTGCTCACTTTAGAAACCGCAGCTTGGCATTGCATGCCATTATTAAGCTTGTGATCTACCAGAACTCCCAGATCCTTCTCCACCATTGATTCCCCCAGTTGTACCCCCCCCCCCCCCTAGTATATATGGTACATGCATATTCTTAACCCCCAAGTGCATAACCTTACATTTATCAACATTAAATCTCATTTGCCACATGTTTGCCCAATTTAACAGTGCATTGAGGTCAGCTTGTAAGTTGGAGGCATCCTGTAAGGACATTATTCCACTCCATAGCTTGGTGTCATCTGCAAAGACTGAAATGTTACTTTTAATCCCAGACCCTATATCATTTATAAAAAAGTAAGGGTCCCAACACTGAACCTTGGGGTACACCACTAACAATCCTAGACCATTCAGAGTATGAATCATTAACCACTACTCTCTGAATTCTGTCTTTTAGCCGGTTTTCTATCCTTTTACAAACTGATTTTCCAAGCCTGTAGACCAGGGGTGTCAAACGTTTGGCCTTCCAGCTGTTGCAAAACTACAAGTCCCATCATGCCTCTGCCTTTTGGAGTCATGCTTGTAACTGTCAATCTTGCAATGCCTCATGGGACTTCTAGTTTGGCAACATCTGGAGGGCCACCAGTTTGACACCCATGCTGTAGACTTTACCTTACACATTAGCTGTGTGTGGGAAACTGTGTCAAATGTTTTTGCAAAATTCATAAAAAGAAATCAGATTTGTTTGACAACTTATGTCTCTCATTAATCCATGCTGTCTGTTACTTAAAATATTTTTTTCCATTTTTTCCATTCATCATCTATGTGGCCTTTTATTAAACTGTCCAGTATCTTCCAAACTATAGAAGCTAAACTAACAGGTCTATAATTACTTGGTAAAGATTTTGATCCTTTTTTATTATATATATATATATATATATATATATATATATATATATATATATATATATATATATATATAGGCACCACATTGGCCTTACGACAATCTAGTGGTACTATGCTAGGCATTAAAGAGACACTAAAAATTAGTAACAATGGCTTTAAAATGACAGAGCTCCGTTGTTTTAGGACCCTTGGGTGAATGTCATGTGGTCCAGGTGCTTAATTCACCTTTAGAGTAGATACATTTATATAGTCTTACAGATACAACCGACTCTTTAAGAGCAATCTTAATGCTGATGTAGAACACGATGAAAATGAGCTTGACTCCCCTGGCTTACAGCATAAAAGATAAAACACCTCCAGCACTCTTAACGTGCTTGCTCCACTAGATTAACCCTCTGTTTCCTAAATTTTTAGTTCATACCTGCTCAATATTCTATTAGGTGGACATCCAGGCTTCTTAGGATGCAGCTTTCAGCTGAAAGGTCTTACAGCAGCACTCTGTTGGGTCCATTGATCGTTGTTATTGTTGAGCCTGTTGGCACAGTTCTGTTTGCCATGTTGTTGCCCACTCATTTTATTCATTGCTTGAGGATGTCCTAGGGTCTTTGAATATCCAGCCTTTGGCATATACTGTATATATAAGATAATAGGAATTTTTACTTACCTAAAAATTCCATATAATGGAGACAGAAAAGCACATAGACCACCCTCTATTCTTGTGTTTGTCTGCATTGCTTGCTCATAAACTGAGGTCTCATTAGTGGGGTAGGGTTACACAGGCATGTCAAAAAAAAGCTTTGCCAATGTCCAATCACCTGAACGTAGCAGGCTATAGCCCAGGATCTATGACTATACATCTTGTGCCCTCTACTGTACCCCAAGATAAGGAATTTACTGGCAAGTTAAAATGCCTCTTTTTGACTTACCAGTATAATCCTCTCCAGTACAGGACACAGGTCCAATCTCTCTGTTATCATGATCTCACTATTGTTTTCTGACTTGAGGCTTGCCGGGAGTAGAAGGGAGATATATAGTAGTTTGTCCCTGCAGATTTTTTTTGGCCAGTGTCTAATCACCTGAAGGAAGCATTATATAACCGATGGTTTGAGACTGAGGTCCTTTTCACGCGGCTGATGCGATTTAGGTACGCCTGTCAATTTTCAGGCAGACCTGATTTGATGGTCCATTCACCTTTATGAACAAGAGGGTGTAAATGGACTTGTGTCCGTTTACACCCACTGATCTCTTAGTCCTCTTAAAAAAAAAAAAAAAAAAAAAGAAAGAAATGGGATCTGTCCTTTTTCGCTTAGGCGGATCAAATTGAAGGGTGGCGGAGTCAGTTTACACCCTGCCACCCATAGAGCACTGCAGGCTCTGTCTCTGCATAAACTGAGCAGACACGGATGTGTCATCCACTTGCTCTGCTGTGATCTGTAGAGGATCTGTGAACTTCATTTTACTGTTTAGTCAGAACCCTGTTTTTCCCTCTCAAAGTAGCAAACACAATATATTTAGGACTATGTGGAATTTCCCAAAACAATGGAAGATGGAAAAACTGACTTCTATCCTAAATGTCCACTGACACTTCTCCTTAACAGGGAGAATAGGGAAACTGTTTTCATACACTAGTCTTTAGCTATCAACACTTATGAAGCCTACCCCACCCTCACCTAACAGCCGCTGCCCTTCCCTCCTCCTACCACTCCATCCCCCACAGCCGTTTCCTCCTGTGCCTCTACCCCCTCCCTCCTAGATTGTAAGCTCGAAAGAGTAGGGCCCTCTTACCCTTGATGTTACTGTTCTGTTTCATTTATTGTCCCCCCCTCTATTGTACAGCGCTGAGCAAACCCTTTGGCGCTATATAAACTCGATAAATAAATAAAATAAATAAATGATGCTTCTGAAGAGAAATAACTGTCTCTGAATATATGCAGAGGTGAAAGAATTGTGAAATTGTGCTTAAACATATTACTTGCACTTCACACATCAGCTTTTGTGGATCATTGATGCAATACAAATGCTGAATTCACTTGCATCAATCAAAATCTTCAAACAATTTTAAAGTTTTTGATTTAAAAAAAATGAAAGAAGAAGCAGTCCTTTAAGAAATGATCAATTGCTCCAAAGACCACATGTGTTCATCTTGCAACTAATTTGAGTTATCTAAACCATCCAGTTGCTTTCATCTTTGATAAGTCTCTCCAAATCAGTCGCAAAAGTGATCAAGGCAGCAGAGGGAAATTAATGAGAGTTGCTAAATTTAATCAGAATACAGAACAAAGATACCGGTTTTAATTAAAAAAACAAACAAACAGATGGTTGATGTGGGAATCAGATAAAAGTTGTTCTAAATAACACCATTTCCACAATTCACAGATTTAACCTGGCCCATTTTGGACTAATTTTCCCTACCGTGCAGTCATCCTGTACCAGTTGTTAGGCCCACAATAGTATGATTTGTCTCAATAGAGCTCTGCAGTTGAACATGCAGTATGTGAAATAGAGCAATAAGGATAACTTAAAGTGTATGTCAAGACAAAACATTTTCTCTTCATTTTGAATAGAATGGGAAAGAGTTTGAACCTCTCAAGTTTTTACTGCTATTATTTGCTCCACTAAAGAAACTTACCTTCATTTTTTTGTTGTACTGCTGATATTTCACGAGACAGGAAGTGAGGAGAATTTAAAACAGCAACACAGATGTAATAAATTTCTTTAGTAGAGTAGGGGAAAGATAGAACCCCTTTTAGATTTGTTTTTTTTTCTCTGTATCCCTGTTGTAGATTTTCTCTCTCTTCCTGTCACTTTCACATCAGCAGGACAAGAAATGAGGATACATTTCTCTAATGAAGGATAGATAGGAAGGTAGGAGTAAAAACCAAAGAATTGTAACTCTTCTAACATTGACTCTATACACACTAGGCTTTAACCCACACTTCAAACCACCTTTACAGTCACTTTTCCCCCTTTCACAGATTCTGGGGAACTCCAGAAAGGCTTAGTGACCGTTTCTGGTGTTAGGTCCCCTTAGAACGACCTGCACCTAATTCAGGCAAGCATTTCCTTTTTGGTATCATTACTGACACAGACAACAAACTTGGGTAGCAGCTGTTGATCCATTCATTACTATGCACTCTCAATCAACAGCAAGGTTGACTTGGTGGGAATCTCATCTGAGGAAGGAGTGTCCAGTATGGACAGATGGAGCGACAGATTCATGTACCTCTGACAGGCACATGAATTGGGCACAGGCATTGAAAATTTCAGAGCAGTAGCCTAATTGAATTCCAAGGGATGTCTGCAACACCTTTTATGAATTCTCCCTTTGTGTCAAGGAAATTTAATATGTCAAATATAATGGCCTTTTCAGTTAAATTATATATGTTTATCTCAATACAAAGGATGTGTTTTATTTTACCTTTGTTATACCCATGTTTGTGCTTAGGAAATAGTGAACTTCAACTGCCGCAAGCTGGTAGCATCAATGCCACTGTTTGCCAATGCTGATCCTTGCTTCGTTACGGCAATGCTGACCAAACTAAAATTTGAGGTATTCCAGCCTACGGATTATATAATTCGGGAAGGAACTATCGGCAAGAAGATGTACTTTATTCAGCATGGTGTGGTGAGCGTACTTACAAAGGGCAACAAGGAGGTGAAACTCTCAGATGGCTCTTACTTTGGAGGTGAGCTTACAGAATTTTTTAACCACAGTAGCGCTGTCGTGTTGTCCTATATATTAGTAAGCATATGTAGTAAATCTCACATGACAGCACAGGAATGGAATTCTGATTTGTTTGTGAATCGCCTAGAATTACTGCCGTTGGTTTGAAAGGTAACTAAATGTTAATGACGTCATTGTCATAAGTCGGTTTAAATGGAAGTATTACATTAAGGGGATAAAAATATCTAATAGTCTTAGGAGATTGAGAACAGAAGATATGAAAAATTAAGGTGGTGTAATGGTAAGCAGTGTTTTCAAGCACACGTGTGACCTCCTGTCAAGGCATCCCATAGTTGTACACTGCCAGCTGTCATTTAACCTTTTTGTCAAGGATGGCAGCTAGCATAACTACATTTACACAGTCTTTTTTGACACCTATGGGAACTTATTTAGTCTTTTGAATAACATTAGTAGCTCATTCACGTAATGTAAGTTTAACTTTTTCATTTTAGGTTTAGTGTACCTTAAGGCTTTTCTTTATACTACTCTGAAATTCATTCTCTACGCTTGGCAGAGAGCAAACCGCTTACAAATGTAATCGCTTAAATCCTGCTTTACAACTGGAAGCTTATATATATATATATATGTGTGTGTGTGTGTGTGTGTGTGTGTGTGTGTGTGTAACACAACCTAGTCCTAGTTCTTATTTCATCACTGCTTAGTAATTCACACAAAACTGCTATGTTAAGAGTGTAACTCCAGTCAAAACTTGTCTTCTAGTTTAAGGTAGCATAAGAATAGGTTAGAATTTCTGTCAAAAATTGCCATCAGTGTACCTGTTTGGAAAAGTAAACCTCAGTATTTGTCTTATAAACTGCTGTCGCTAGGAGAAAAATTAAGAATACAAATATCACAGCTGTCACTGAAACAGAAGTAAGAGGATATTTTTGAGTTTGGAGAGTATTTCCTCCTTTTGTGGAGATTTCTATATATTTTTAAAGTGGAACATTAGTTAAGTCCTGTTAGATCACTTCAGGCTGGCCCCTTTTGCAGGTCTAGCTATATAAAACATTAAAAATATGTGCCTATGCTATTTAAAATCCAGTAATACACTGTCTCATCCTGCTCTGCACATGCTCAGTTGCTCTCTATTTTTAGGCACTACCGAATTTGTAGTGCCTAAAAATCCCTGTTGCAATATAATTACTTGCAGGAAATTTAAGATGTTACAGGTCAGAAGACACCTGTCTTAATTCCTGTTTTCAACTCTTGGTTTTTAATATTATTATTATACAGGATTTATATAGCGCCAACAGTTTGTTCAGCGCTTTACAATATAACGGGAGACAATACAGCAACAATACAGTTCAATACAAGAGGTTTAGGAGGGCCTGATCCTTGGAGCTTACAATCTACTTTAGTTCAAAATTTCACTTTTGTTCACAAATTCCACATTCAAGCCACCATCAAGTGTGAACAAGCTCAGTGTGAGTTCTATAGAAACTTATATACACCTGATATTGATGCGTTCGTTTATAAGAAAACGTATCACACTAGTTTTATGTTGCCCTCTTTTATGTTTTTAATAAATATTACAAATAAAATGACATTTTATTACTCATATAGGTACATTATCTGTATCAGTGAATGTTAACGTGATCTGCCTAACTTTTTCTGCTCATCTATTCTTATTGTTGATGTATTTTATGTGTGGTTCAGGACAATCTCTCTTCTTTCAATGTGGTCCAGGAACGTCAAACGTTTGGACACCCCTGCTTTATACGCTTACTAATCTGTTTTCAGAAAGATCCAGCAGTTGCATCCCCATATATGTCATAACAGATTCACTTAAAACTAAACTCTGTAGTATAAATATATATACTTAAGGGCAATGTCCCTTTTACTGATTTTATCCTTTAAGTAAACCCTCCACCCATTTTGTCCTTGCTCCCAAATTATTCACTTTGTGTTCAAATATGTCTGTTCATATACAGCTATTATTCTATAGGAGTGTGCGTACAGATACAGGCTATCTGTTGTAAAGAATCTGATTTTAAGTAACTGTGTATATTGTTTTTTTTAATAATAATGGGATGTAATTGCAATAAAATTGTGGACTCAGGAGTCAATTCACACTCTATCCCACAAAGACAATATCACTAAAGGGGTAGGGTGCTATGACAAAGATAGAAGTTACATCTTAACCCCAGACTGGTTAGACATAAACAGCTAGATGGAGCAGTAGGTGGCACTAATACCTCCTTTTTCAAAAAAATGAGAGGTGCTTCAAGGTAACTCTAGAAGTATCCCGCTGATGAATAATCCAGCTTATCCCTGACCCAAAAGCATTGGTCTAGGAATGCTCCTGAACCCCCAAATCCAATGAACCAGCAGCATCCATGGAGAGAGGAACAGGAGTCTTAGCAGTAGATGAACATTTACATGTTTGAGGGAGCATCATGGGAAAGGTCCCCATGGACCTGTCTTAAAAAGCTGCAAATCGGTCATAGAAAAAAAAAAAAAAAAGGACCTAACCTCAAATAGACGGGTTCCCAGATCTTTTAAGGCACTTTTGTTTCTGTGGGAAGATAACATCAGCTAGAGTGTTTTGTCAACTGACAGCCCAGTGAGACACAGGATCCTCCTTCAGCACCCCTTTTGGTGCGCACAGCAGGGTCAGAAGCGCACCAAAAGGCATGAGCCTCTTCTCCATTAGCAGAGGTTGCTGGCTCCAGCACTGGAGCCAGACTACCTCTCCTGATACAGAAATTACCTGTATCCTTCTTGGTGGTGAAGGTACAGTAATTCCTAGATTGTGTCCAATTGGGTCTGACACAGGAAGCCTACCCAAAATGGGATCCCATGATGTAGAAGGAATCGTCTGTTCTTGAAGACCACACAGCAGTCAAACTCTGCATGGGAGGAGAAAAATCCTTACCAGCTGGGCTGGAGATGCTGAGTATATATAAGAAGGGTGGTGACCCAGATAGGGTACAGTCCTAGAGGCTGAACTGACAGGGGGGACTGGAGCAAGGGTCCCCAAGGAGACCAGGGAAAAGTACCCCCCTGAAGGTAAAGCAAAGGTCTGAAGAGACCATATATGCAAAGGCCAAATGCCTCAGCATCGTAACCAGTGTGCTGTGCACATCTGTGTGGACTATGTGAGGCACAAGTTTAGACACTTCAAACAAGCCATCACAAGGATCCAGACAGCTATTTCACCTACTCTGTAACAAAGGGGTCAACCCTTGCTGTGGATTGATCCTTTTTGAAGGATCTAACCCAGGGGTGGGCAAACTTTTTGACTTGAGGGCCGCAATGGGTTCATATATTGGACCCGGGGGCCGGACCAAGAGTAGATGAATGATGTGTATGTGTCATCCATAGTAAGTATAGTAATATTCCCCCATAGTAAGCATAGTAATTAATCCATTATAGTATTATATAGTAATCATCCCCCATATAGTAATTCATCCCCCATAGTAATTCATCCCCCCTATAGTAATTCATTCCCCATATTAATTCATCCCCCATATTAAGTCCCCAAGTCCCCCCTGTGTCAATTCACTTACCTTTGCTCCGCGCGTTCCTCTCGCCGTGTTCCCGCGCCGTTCCGGTCTTCAGGGCGGACTGTGAGAGGAGCCTAGCTCCCCTCCCCTCACGTTCGTCACCCTGCCCCGCCTACACACATCCTGACAGCCACATCCGCGGGCCGGATTAAAAGGTCCGCCGGGCCGTAGTTTGCCCATTGCTGATCTAACCCATTCTGACATGGATTGACAGATCAGGGACACGGCCAACTCAAGGCAGAACTTGTCACTGAAAACTGAGAATTAAGGAGGATTTCAGCTGCTGGTCAGTATAATCATTAAAGGTGATCAAGCCCTGTACAGGTTTAGTGGTTTTCCTGTCAAGGTGGGTCACTGGCCTGTCTACAATAGGTATATACCACTCTTTGGCAAATTCCCTTTCGGAATCAGAAGCTCTGAAAAACCCAAGGATGAAGACAGCAAGCTCAAACTCCAAAATGAAGAGTAGTGCATACTGCATCAAGGGCCAAATTAGCATTTGTGATTCTGAGAGACTGCGGTACCTCATAAACAGTCTCCGAGGACAGACTGAAGATTCTGGATCTGAGTCAGAGATGGCCATTGTGACTGATGGTCTGGCCTATTGTAAGGCCTCAGACAGATCAGAAAATTACTCTACAGGGTAGGCATCGGAGACACACTTAGTCTTTGTGGTTGGTATCTGTGAGGTAATGGGTAAATTTGACCACAAAGTCTAGTGTGCCTGCAGTAAAAGAAAGCTACATAATAAGACTCATTAACCATTAGGGCCAATGGAACATTAGATAAATGTGAGCCTCAGCCTTTTTTTTTTTTTTGGGGGGGGGGGGGGATTATCGAAGAATAGGCGCACACATGTTCTCAATCTATATAGTTAAACTAGACTGGTGGAGGAATGTTAAATACATAAATAACAGCGCATACAATGAAATGAATGGGACAATAATAATAATAACCATGGAGACAGTGATTATGTAATGCCCATATGAATACGGCTAATAAGAAAAAAAAAACAAATGTAGAAAGCAACACTGCTAATAAAGAAAAAGGCGCCTCTAAGTGTAGACATAAGACAGGTTTATTGCACACAATAAAGAGCAACTTACAAGGTGGGATAAAACAGGCACATCAAAATCCATCAAGGGAGGGATCGCCACGGTGAGGAGACAAGTACATGGCTGCTGATAATGACAAACCTTCTGTCGGCATTCCAAGCAAGCCGGCAAGATGGAAGGAGCCTGGTACCGAGAAACTTTGTTTCTTCTACATGGTTCTGACCAGGAGCAGTGACAAACAGAATCCTCCTTTCTGTGTAAAGGTTGCACATGCTCATTCGGTCCAATCACAATACTTTGTACTATTGGAGAGTTAAAGTCCTGAAGGCACACTGGTATAGTAAGATATAATTGATATGTGTATATGGAATAAATGCATATTGATTCACCAAGCTCTTCTAGTAACTTACAAATTATTATTTTTTTTTTCGTACAGAGATCTGCCTGCTGACACGGGGGCGACGGACTGCCAGTGTCCGCGCTGACACATACTGTCGTCTCTACTCCCTCTCTGTGGATCATTTCAATGAGGTGTTGGAGGAATACCCAATGATGCGGCGTGCATTTGAGACAGTTGCCATAGACAGATTGGATAGAATAGGTAAGAAGTCTATTAACAATAGATAGTTATTAAAAAAGCAAACTCGTCTATACACTATGCCTATTAAAATCAGCAAAGCCTCGCACAGAGGTGCAAAGAAATGCAGTCTAATGCTTCTGCAAGTACATTACCTTAAGATGTCTATATTAAAAGGCATGGTATAGTGAGTGTCATTTTAAAGTGGTAGTCGACAGAAAAAAAAAATCTTAACCTTTCAAGTTAAGAGCATAATTATAGAACATCATGAAAGACTTATCTTAAAACAAAACTTCCATCTTCATCTGGCCTTCCTTCCTGGGCTTGCGGATTCTGGCCATTTGAATGGCTGAGTCGCAATAATGTCATACTTGTGCATGCACACGGAAGTCACGGCAGCGGCACAGAGCTTTGAAGAGCGATTATTCGCAAATGGAAGAAATACAACATAACAATTGCCCTCGGTCTAGAGCTCCATGCAAGATTACGCCCCATGGGGTAATGATGAACATGAGAAACTGAGGGATCAGCCCAGAACTACACTGGAGGAGATTGTGAATGATATTATGTTAGTTGGGACCATAGTCCCCAAACAAACCATTGGTAATACAATACACCGCCATTGATTGATCCTGCAGGGCCAGCAAGGTCCCCCTCCTCAGGAAGGCACATGTACAGGCCCATCTGAAGTTCGCCAATGAACATCTAAATGATTCAGAAAAGGTTTGGGAGAAAGTGCTGTGGTCAGATGAAACCAAAATTGAGCTCTTTGGCATTAACTTGACTCGCTGTGTTTAGAGGAAGAAAAATGCTATGACCTTAAGAACACCATCCCTACAGTCTAAACACGGAGGTGGAATCATTATGCTTTGGGGCTGTTTCTCTGCTAAAGGTACAGGCTGACTTTGCCGCATTGGGAGGCCAATGGACGGGGCCATGTATTGTAAAATCTTGGATGAGAACCTTCTTCCCTCAGTCAGAACACTGCAGATGGGTCATGGATGGGTCTTCCAGCATGACAATGACCCAAAACATACTGCCAAGGCAACAAAGGAGTGACTCAAGAAGAAGCACATTAAGGTCATGGAGTGGCCTAGCCAGTCTCCAGACCTTAATCCTATAAAAAATTTATGGAGGGTAACAGCCAAGAAACCTTAAGGATTTAGAGCAGATCTGTAAAGAAGAGTGGACCAAAATCTCTCCTGAGATGTGTGCAAACCTGGTAACCAACTACAAGAAATGTCTTACCTCCATGCTTGCCAACAGTCATGTATTGCTTGGGGATCAAATACGTATTTTACTTACTGAACTGCAACTCAATATATATAACATTTGTATCATGTGTTTTTGGTTGATATTCTGTCTCTATCATTTAACCTGTTCTCGCCTGGCCAATAGCAGAATGACGGCCAAGCGGGACTCTCGTCGATCCGGGTGGGCATCATATGACATCCTTCCCGGAATGCGCCACGCTGTGGCGAGATCTGTCACCACTGTATACCTCGGACACAGCCAATGACAGATCTGTGTAGCAGCCCATTGCCTGTACCATGTGACCTGCTGTGACCAATCACAGCAGGTCACATGACAATTGTAAACAATGGATGGCTTCCTTTCATGCCATCCATTGTATACAATTGTGTCACTAGCTGTGATTGGTCACAGTGATCACATGCACAGACTGGGCCAATCGCAGCCCACCTGTGTCACGTGATTAGCTGTGGCCAATCACAGCTAATCACAACAAAAAAACCTGAATTAATCGATTTCATTCAGTTAAATGCTTGCTTATAGCAAAGAAATCCTTTGCTATAAACAATCATAAATGTGAAACCCCCCCCCCCAAACAAAAACTGATCACTTCCCCAAAGTAGTACAATGATACTACTCTGGTCATAGTGTAATATGATCAAAAAAATCTTTAAAAAAATATCCCTGAGTATCCCTAATCACTGGTGACAGTATTAAAAAAAAAAAAAAAAAGTGAAAATTTTTTTTAGTTTAATTTTCCAAAAAATTATGACAAAAAAATACAACTTCAAAAAACTTGCCATGCCTCTTATTAACTTCTTGGCGCCGGTGCCTCCTGGCTCTTTAACCACTTCCTGTCCGGACACTTTTACCCCCTTCCTGTCCAGGGCAATTTTTAGCTTTCAGCGCTATCGCACTTTGAATGACAATTGCGCGGTCATGCAACACTGTACCCATATGAATTTTTTACCATTTTTTTGAGACAGATAAAGCTTTATTTTGGTGGTATTTATTCACCGCTGGGATTTTTATTTTTTTTACTATGTAAATGAAAATGTTCAAAAATTTTGAAAAAAAGTGTTTTTTTAAATAAAATTTTGCAAATAAATAATATTTCATCATAAATCTTAGCCAAAATTTATTCCGTTATTTTTTTTAGTAAAAAAAAAAATCCAAATTGGTTTATAACCAAAAATTATAATTTTTAAACATTTTTTTTTTTTACATTTTATTTTTTATTTTGTTATATTATTATTTTTTTTTTATTTTTTTTACATACTGTCACCCTAGCAGTACACTGTCACCATGGTGACACTGTACTACTTGTGGAGGGTGATGATTTTTTTTTTTTTTTTTACACTGATTGCTTTTACACCCATATAGGATGTAAAAGCAATCATTTCTCTTTCTCTCTGTCTGCATTCCTGCAGTCATTGAGAATTACTGAGTGAGCTGTGAGTGGTCACAGCTTGCACATGGTACAAGGCTGTTGTGAATAGCCTTGTACCATGTGACCTCTGTGATCATTCACAGATTTCACACATAGTAAGCAATGATGTCACAAGTGACATCTTGCTTACTACTTTGCATGTGATCACTGATTCGCCAATCAGTGATCACATGATCGGGACCTCGTACAGAGGTCCCGTCCGACGATCGGTGCTTCACTGTGTCCAGAGGACACAGCGGGCACCGGATCGCGGGCACCGGATCCCTGGGAGCGTGCACAGCTAGAAAAGGCGGGTGCCGTTTATGGACGGCAACCGGACCCTGGACTGCCACCGCCCTGCCGTTTATAAACAGCAGGCGGACGGCAAGAGGTTAAGAGCTTCAGAAGACGGGAGGTGGGGTTGGGTTTTAGGGTCATATGACCGCCATGATGAGCCCTGATGATGCATGCCACAGCGCAGAGTTCTGAAGAAACGCCATGGGTATGCCGCTCCTTCAGGGTGCATGCGTCGGTGAAGTTACCGGCTGGTGCTCACTAGAATAGCTCCCAAACGATGCACGTTCAGGAGATAGTCATTTAACCTTATTTATCCTTCATACCTGCATTGGTGTTAGCATATATATCTATAACTCTTGCAAAGTTAAAGATGTAGTATGTTTGAATCCAATAAATACAGCAGTTCACATTTAATGTATTTCCTAATTTTTAAAGGAACGTTAACAGAATTATTCTGAAGGCAGTTGTGGTCCAATATTGAACTAATTTCTGGAAGTAAACAGTTGTGGCTTACTGTTACCAATTTTAATGTATACCTTTTTTATGTAAAATTCCTCCATAACATCTGTATTGTAATTATGGGAAAAATGAAACCTTATTTTGTGATTCCTTTTTTTTTTTTTAATGGTTCCCTAATTCTGTAATTGCCAGAAGTCATGTGCAGAAATTTTTGCTCCTGCACCTAAGCACTCCTCTAGTATATGATAGCTGAGTTGTTCTAGAAAGACAACTTCTTTCCCATAATTCTATGCAAGCTGTAAAGGAATATTCCACATAGTAAGCTTGGCTACCCATATCAAGCAGTCAGTTTAGCCTGGGGCAATTGAGCAATAACATTTCTTCGCCACTGAGAGATATTTAAAGTGGAAATAACCCTCCTATCCGTTGAGGACGGTGCCATCTTGGCCTCAGTGTAGATCTTCAGTTGCCATGGGTGAGCACATATGACCAACTATGGAACTAGCCATTTTAGGGCTTCAGAGATCAGTTTAGAGGTGATCTAAGCACACTGGCAACTGTAATATTTATCCCCCAGAGGCATGCCTTGAATGTAGCATACTCTGAGCTGAATCTAGAAAAAACCCCAGGAGGCTGCAGGTCAGCCACAAAGGACATAGCTCCAGATCTGGTCCCACAAAAGCTTCCAGATGTACTTTATCCTCTTTAGGGAGTACATAGTGCGTGGGCTGTCTGCTGACAATCCAGAGAAACGCAGGGTCCTTCAATGATGGTGTCTTCCTTGGCATCCAGGAGTTGAGGCACACCCAGGTGCATAAATGTCTCTGTCCAGAGAAGTGACAAACTGGTTGATGACAAGAAGGTATCCATGCAACATCTCTAAGGGAGACTGTGTAGTTGAGAGTTGTACTCCCTGCTTCATCTAGCACAGAGACCAGGTCTTGACAAATGGAGGACACCCAAATATTCCCTATAGTGAAGGTCTTTAAACCCCTAACCCAGTGGTCGGCAAGCCGCGGCTCGCGAGCCACATGCGGCTCTTTACACGCTTTAATGCGGCTCTTGTGGGCCGGGCGCCTGCTCCCCTCCCTCCTCTCGGGCGGCAGGGACTCTGCAGCGTGATCCAAAAAAAAAAACAGCCAGGGCAGCGCGCTCAAATGCAATGATTGGCCAGTCTCGCTGCCACTCACATCCTGATAGCCAGTGATTGGCTGTCAGGATGTGTGTAGGCGGGGCAGCGTGACGAACGTGAGAGGAGCTAGGCTCCTCTCACAGTCCGCCCTGAAGACCGGAACGGCGCGGGGGAACACGGCGAGAGGAACGCGCGGAGCAAAGGTAAGTGAATTGAGACGGGGGACTTGGCTTACTACTTGCTACTTACTTACTACTACTATATGAGGGATGAATTAATATGGGGGATGAATTACTATAGGGGGGATGAATTACTATAGGGGGGATGAATTACTATATGGGGGATGAATTACTATGGGGGATGAATTACTATAAAAACTTATTGAAACTAAAAACAGTGTACCATCCTATGTATTTTCAGTTTTAAAAATGTGGCTCTCAAAATAAATTTCAATCGTGGTTTTGGCGAGATTTGGCTCAGTTGAAAAAAAAAGGTTGCCCACCACTGCCCTAACCAAATCCAGGTCACTGTCCCAACTTACAATGGAATTCCCCCCCCCCCCCACAAGGAAATAACTGTTACAGGGAACCAGACTAAAGTCCCAGGGAAGGAGACACCCCAACAAATGGATTCCCTTCATGGTGAGGGAATGGGGACCATCCCATACAGCCTAAGGAACTGATGAAACACACCAGGGACTTCTTGTCCTATAAGGACTGTGTGAACATGTTGCCCCAAGTCCATGCTCCTGGACACCAAGTTGGAGCCTGGAAAGATAATCAAGAGCCAACAACACAAGGGAAATCTAAGACAAGAGAATGTTCCCTCAGTTCCTAAGGGAAAAGGAATGGGAATTCCCCTGACAGAAGGGAAAGGGTGCACTTATTCTAAGCACATACATTTCTTTAACAGGGAGTTGAGTTGAACAGCCTCACCTGTTGGTAGTCAGTAGCTAACCATACTAGTGGGCCTCCATGAGAGGAAGTTGGGTCCTTCTGAAGAGTTTTGAGTGCAGGTGTCCAGAAAACTGCCAAGATGACCCCCTTGATAAGGGTCAATTTACAGTATTTGTTTTTCCTTTTTAGTCCGCGGAGGTGTGAAAAAAACTAAAAACCCAAAAGTGAACAGAAAACGTGCAAGTGCAAAACACAAACATAAAAAATTGCAGTTAGGGGTGTGCATTTTGTCCACCCCCTCGAAGGGGTAGGACCTCTACGCTGATCCCCTGGGGCGATCTGAAAGGGACAAAGGGTTTCCAACATGGTCCACCTAGCCAAAGAAGACCTGGTGGACCCCTCTCCTTGTGGCTAGCCAAGCCTACCACCAAGTACTAGGTCAGGCAGCTCTCCTGAAGAGAGACCCCCCAGGAACAGGGGAGGAAGGAACCTGATAGCCATGAATCCTCCCCCTAGACTTCAGGGCAGGCCCGAGGACCTACACCCTCCATCCAAGTGAGAAAAAAAAAAACACACACAAAAGTGGAAGGTGATGAAAAACAAATAAATACAGTTGTTCAAAATAATAGCAGTGTGTTGAAAAAAGTGAATAAAGCTCAAAATCCTTCTAATAGCTTTTATTTCCATACACACAAATGCATTGGAAACACTACACATTCTATTCCAAATCAAAACATGAAGAAAAATATATCAAATTTTTGTTGTTCCTCTAAAAAAAATTGAAGACAGTGAAACGTGGCATAAATGCATGTAAATGCAGTACCGCATTTAGCGCTTGGAAGTTTATTCATTTGATTGGCCAGAGTATTTTCCATTGACATAGATAAACGCCCAAGTGCTAAACGTGGCTAGCGTTTACACGCATTTTGGCTGCATTTAGCGTTTTTTGTCCAAAATGTTCCTCTCCAAAATGTTTTGTCCAAAATGTTCCTGAACTCGATTATTCTGCGTTCAGAAGAGGAACCTTTAACTGCCCCTAAACTCTAGTAAAAGCCTATGTGTACATGGATACATGAGCTTTTAATCAGTTGAATTCAAGAGCTTTGGCAAACAAAAAAAAAAAAAAAAACGCCAAAAGCTCCTAAACTCACGTTTAGGAGCAGCAGTGTAAATGAGGCCTTAGAACACCTATTATGTTTTTATTGCAGTCTCTGTCCCCATTAGAGAGATTTGCCCTCTCTACTTGTCCTGTTTACCCTTAGTCTCCCCAGTGGGACAAAGATGGCAAAAAAAAAATATTAAAGAAATCTGACTGGGTTATGACCTTCCTTACTGTATCCAAAATTAAAAAAAAAAAAGTTTTGACTATAGTTCTATTTTAATGATTGCATTCACAAAAGTTTTAATAGGATGGGGACAGGGGACATTGTTGAAAGGTCAACTAAAAGATATTAATTTGTTAACTTCTTCTGTCTCACAGGGAAGAAGAATTCTATCCTCATGCACAAGGTTCAGCATGACTTGAACTCAGGTGTCTTCAACAACCAGGAGAATGAAATAATACAAGAGATTGTCAAGTACGATCGGGAGATGGTGCAGCAAGCTGAGCTCCATCAACACCAACTAAGTGGTGGGATGTATGCGACTTGCAATCCTCCCTCTCCTCAACCCCAAGTAACATCTGCTATAGCAACTCTGCAGCAAGCTGTGGCCATGAGCTTTTGCCCCCCAATGGCCAGCCCATTAGTGGGTTCCCCACGTATTATGAGGCGACTCCAATATGCCCAAGGAGGGCCTGGAGCTTTTTCTATGTCCCCAGCTCTTTTCCAGCCATCCCTGCAGCTCTTGCAGCATCACCCACCCCCCCAGCAGGGCCCACGTCGGCCATCGACTGCTGTGCCTAGTCCCCCTAACCAATCACCACGAGTGTCTCAGAACTTTGCCTACCCGGCCAGGCATCGAGCAGGCTCACAACTTTCTCTTACCCAATCTGGGGGTTCTGCTTCCCCACAGCGGCTGTCTGTTCACAAGAGCACTCATTCTCTGCACTCTGGCACACTTACGCGTGAGTCTCGTCCCCTTTCCGCCTCACAGCCCTCACTGCCTCACGGGGCATCACAGCTCCGCAGTCCACCAGCTCCTCCTGCTACAACTGGCAGCTTAACGTCTCCGGTGGCCAAAGGAGGTTTGGGACCACAGGCTGGTTCAAGAGTACCTGCCCCTGCAAGACTTGCCCTCTCCCATCAGTTGTCCTCTTCTGGTACAGTTGGTGGTGTCTCGGACTCTGCAGTGGGAACATCATTAGGAGGCAGAAAGGATTCTGTTGTTAGTGCCCCAGATACTGATCCTGTCAGGGGACGGCTGTCTGCAAACTTGTGACTGATGGTGGGTGTGCACATGCCCTCACCCAAATGGGTAGGTAATGGATGGTGCACAGTTTCTATTAGAAGAGAAAATATAATGTGCCCTCCTAGTCATCCCCGTGCCACTTTATTAATAACTCTACTTGTTTTAAGATTAGTAACCCTAACTATGCTTGGGAGTGGAGGTATTAATATGTGGAAGTTACAGAAGAACTAGTAGTTAGATCAGTAAATGCCACTTCAGAAAGCACTCTGCCACATGACTCCTCCATTGTTTACAAGTGTAGGAAAAGGTGGCATTGTTCAATGCCAGAGGTCTACCTAGAGCTCTGGATTAAAATGAAGTGCAAATCTTGTGTGGGTCTAAAGCAGCCGGTCTGTTGTCAGCAAGAAAGAGACTGCTGGTGTTTACTACTGAGTTATTTAAATGATATGTACACATGTCAAAAACTCTTAGCTGGTAGATCCTCACTCTGAAATGACAAATTGAAAAAGCTACAAGATTGTTACTTATGCCCAACACATTAAGCCAATATCTTTAAGCAAACTGCAGGCAGTTTGTCCCAGCTGATAGTCCTCTCCAGGACTTCAACGACCCAGTGACGGTGTCACCTGTGGATGTCATGATAAGCACCTATATTTATATACACCATGCATACATTTAGTTTAGTTTGTAATTGTATTTTATTTAGGAGGTACATTTTTGTGTGATGTCACCATGTGTGCCCTTTTTCCTTCCAGTGAGCAAACCACCAACTGAATATAGCAATTAGGATAAGGCACTGCAAGTCCCAGTGAAAAAATATCTACCATTAATTGTACTGACAGCAGTTAACACTGCAGGTGGATGTTGTGAAAATAAGTGTATCCTTACAGCAATAATGCAGCCACTTTCAAGAGTTGAATGCCAATGATTAACTGTTCAAAGGTTTAAACGGTACAATAAATGTGGCTGCAACCATCGACACTTAATAAAACAAAAAATAATCAAACTGCAAGAGCCATTTAGATAAACAGCCAAAAAGGCTCTGTTAGCCAATAATGTCAAGCATGTAATGCAATTGCAGCTGCTACAAATCACTCCTGGTTAAACTGTGGTGCCAAGTAGCCTTCCAGTTCTCCTGGGCACTCCAGTGGCCATGGATCTATTTGATCTCTCGCACCAAAGGACCTCTGTGTGTTTTATTTATGAACCATGTATTTTTTTTCCAGTATCTCACTGCTGTTGTCCATTCCATGGATTGTATTTTAGAAAGCCATATTGTGTATATCACAGCTGTATATTGATATATATATATACATATATATATAGGCCTGTATAATCTGTAAACTATACATCCTGTATAGCAGGAGTGGGGTTTGAGTGTTTATCCAGGGTAGATGCAGATTCTTAAAAGCCACAAGTCAGGAATTTTCACTAACAGCGATGGAGGAATGCTGCGGCAAAGCACATTTTGATTTTGGGTTAATTTCTTCTGCTGATTTATCTGTGGTGTGGCCTTAGGTAGGTCCATATATTCAGTGGCTAAGGACTGAATTGTTTCTACTAAAACATTATAACTGGCCTTATTGTTCCAGCTAGCATATTGAATAGGCATGGTAGTGTGGATTATGAAACATGGTCATAAACGCCTAATCACCCTGCTGTTTCTATATGCTCTTTATGGAGCTGCACCACTGGTAAACTGTGCTTAGGGAATAAGCCCATAGAGCACTGGAGTGCTTCTTTGATGAAATGCCTAGAAAGGGGCAGTCCCATCTACATTAATTTCTCCTTCAGGAATTAAGCTTTATAGGCAATAAGTACCCATTCTGTTGTCCTCTGGATTGTGGCTTTAATAGTGATGGAATACAGCAATTACCATTGTGGCAGTTTGTGTCAACATTGGGAAAAAAGTACTACAACATTCCATTTTTGTCTCTAAATTATGCATTATTTTTCAAAGTATGTAATTCTTGTGAAAAAGCAAAGGAGAGTTATATGCTGTGGGTTTTCAATGGGACTGCCCCTTCAGGATAATAAATATGATACCGTTTTAACCAATCCATTTACCCCAGACCTAAGAAGACTAAAAGTTTCTATTCTTCAGAATAGATGTTGCCCCCTCTGCTCCGTCTGTGGCTGGCAGTGTCACTGATGAATGTATTTCGGAGACAAGGGGGGCCAGAGAGTGCAGGGTCTTGTGTCTCTGCAGAAGCTGCACTTTACTAAGCAAATGATTCCAGCTTCTTTGTGTGTGCAATAAACAGATACTTCTGAATTGTGTGTTGTTTTGACTGGTTAACCAGGTGATTATCTGTAGAGGGACATGGATGGGATATCTTTAGTGCTTCTGTAGTGTAAAGATCTCATCCCATTGAGCAGCCATGCTGCATTGTTAATGACTGCTGGCCAGATGAAGGTTACTCAGAGGACATGTTTGAGAAAAATTAATTCTGCAGAAGGAGATTCATGGATTACTAAACTGCACATGGTGAGGAAGAATATCTATCCCACAGTGTCCTATAACAGCTGCGTGAGACTCCATTCACTACCACAAATGAGTTAATTAAAACTGATATTATGAGATTTTCAACATTTGTTAGATCTTTTTTTTATATGGTGAAATGCAAAGCATTGGACCACTCTGCTTCATTTGCCACTTGTGCCCAGTCTGAGGCTTTGATGTAGGCAACTGGTGAAGGCTGTCTCATGCCTCTGCTATCAATAGTTACCGCAGTACGCCCTATGAGGGGAGCCACTGTCCATCAATTGGGGATGGGATGGTGTACAAAGCTTTGCGTAGGCATACCTACCCCTGTAATTGTAAGCGGAACATGCCAATGTGCTTTGTCTTGGCATCATACAAATACCATGCAGTGCACGCATTCATTGGGGACACATTGCTGCTGCTTGGGCAGCAAGAAGTGCCTGCGCAGTCTGAAACTAGAACTATCAGGTACAAAATAAAGGAAAGGCCAATGAAAAAAAAACCAAGATGGACATGTGAACATGTTCCAGGTAAGCTATTGTTTAATTCCATGTTATTTTGGCGGAAAATGATGATTTGGCTCCACTGTAAAATTGTCATTTTTGTGAAATTGTTCAACTCAAATCTTAGACAAACAGGTCACTATACACTTGAAGCACATATTTGAACTGTTTTTCCTGCCCAAGTATTTGTAATTCTGCTAAGACTGGCCATAAATTGTACCATTTTCTTGTTTAGGTTTGACGTCATATTATATGCTATTTGGTAAATCTAAAGGAAAATTGTACAGCACTTTCATTTGTATCCAATTACTCAAGCCTTTGTACTACGTAGTTGAAGGTAAATCTAAAGGAAATTGTACACACATTATACAATTTCTTCCAATTTTCTGTACAATGTATGTCCAGCCTAAGCCACATTTGTGATTTACAAACCCTCAGCACACTGCCCCAGCAGGAGGGAGACATCATGCAATGGTGTTATTTGGCTAATGAAACAGTACTAACATACTGATTATGTCATTCCTTTACTGTACCCTCCTGTGAGCACAATGAGAGGCAGAGAAAGCCCTGATTGGCTAAGATTGATTCAGATATTTCTACCATATATGTACTATAGTGGTTGCAGGTGTGGAAGTGAAGACATTTTGTGCATTGAAAGCAGAAATGATGTAACATTCTTTTGCTTCCGCTGTGTGTTGGGACACCTAGCTAACAGATAGACTTTTAACTGCACACAGAAGGTTTTTTTACCCTCATGCATAGAATTCAAGAAGGTAAAAAATACTGAGCCTTTAGAACCACTTAAAAGCTAGAAGTATGTAAAAGAATGATCGCTGCACAATAATATTGAACCCACTTGTGTAATCCAAATTCCTTATAAAATCAGTAAAACAATGTGAGTGCAGTAAATCATCTTTGTGCCCTTAAGCCTTTTGTGAATGGAATTAAAATGTGGATGTGCTAACTCCACCAAAATCGACCAAATCTGTGAATACATTTAATGCACTAAGGCCCACGCACACTAGCATTTTTATAAGTTCAAAAAATGCTAGAAAAAAAAAAAGCTGGATGAAAAATCCTGATAACAGCATTTTTGTGCCCGCTTGTAGCATTTAGGCACATTAGCATTTTAACAGTACATGTAGGAGAGGGGGGGGAAGCTGGAAAATAGCTGTTCAAATGCTCTTAACCACTACTAAATGCTCCAGAGTTTTTCTAAAAAGTTCATAGATGTGAAATGCACATTCCCCCTGAAGACGCAAGTGTGCGAGATGTCAGGGTAAAGTCAAGGCAGTGACGTTATCATAAACAAAGAACATCTCCTGCGCTCTAGGACTCAGAATAGGGGTTGAAGGATGGAAGGGAACCTCGACAAAGTTTGAGAAATTGTGACCAATGCATGGAAGGTTGTGCAGTTCTAGAACAAAGCTGGGGAAGCCCGACCGATACTGTAAAGTGAAACAAAAAGAGTGCACCAACCTTGCGCATTACCTCAGTAAAACTGATTTTATTGAATAAAGAATAATACTCACAAACGAAGTATAACAAGCATTAAAGGTCCTCAAAGAAACTTGGGAGAGTAGAACCAGTGTGAGTCACATCACGAGTGTAGACTTATAAATGGGGTATGTAGCGCTAGATAACAGATGACAGGCACGGGGACTGTTACAATATGAAGTAACCATACAGTAGTTCATATAATGATTCATATATAACGGTCAGAAGCAAAACGAAGATGATCCAATGCTACTCCAGATCACATTAGGTGAGATAAGAGAAAATAGTGAGATTGTGCGCTTACCACAAGTGCACATAATATGCGCATTGTATGCAATTCAACAGCAACCGGGCATCATGGTCTGGTCAATAGCCTGGGCACCCTCTGGTCATGTCCGAACATCTGGGTCACAGGTACAACGCTATCCAGGTCCTCTCTGGCTTTCAAATCCAAAAACGCCACCTTGCATAAGCTCATTAAAAAACGAGCCGGGAGGCAAGAAAGCGCTAATAGTGAAGTACGTTTATTAAAAACACAAGATGTAAGCAGAACAACCAGAACTTACATCGACAAACTACACATCCAGGCCCAAATGTATAGGCTCCCTGGTGGTTAGTGGTACACAACATGCACTGCATACAGACCCAGGTCCAGTAGATGAAACCCTGGTGGCTAGTGGTACCATGAGTATACAGTCATACATATAATGGATGATAATAGAGATATACTCATCCAGGTATAGTGAGGCAATTCCCTGGTGGCTAGTGGGTCCTCAATAGCAAAGGCGTCAATAGGGTGGATCCCCTAACATGTTTCGAGCTAAAGCTCGTTTTCAAAGGGCTTATGCAAGGTGGCGTTTTTGGATTTGAAAGCCAGAGAGGACCTGGATAGCGTTGTACCTGTGACCCAGATGTTCGGACATGACCAGAGGGTGCCCAGGCTATTGACCAGACCATGATGCCCGGTTGCTGTTGAATTGCATACAATGCGCATATTATGTGCACTTGTGGTAAGCGCACAATCTCACTATTTTCTCTTATCTCACCTAATGTGATCTGGAGTAGCATTGGATCATCTTCGTTTTGCTTCTGACCGTTATATATGAATCATTATATGAACTACTGTATGGTTACTTCATATTGTAACAGTCCCCGTGCCTGTCATCTGTTATCTAGCGCTACATACCCCATTTATAAGTCTTTATTCCAAGGTTTTGAGGTTTAGCCTGTATGTTAGCTGCTCACCTGATCTGTTTGCGCTCACTTACCTACCCTTTATACATCACCAGTGTAGACTCTCAAAGGGAGGCCGACGTGTTTCGAAAGGGGTCCCTTCTTCATCAGAGCTCTGATGAAGAAGGGACCCCCTTCGAAACGAGTCAAAGATCTTGGGATAGTAGAACTAGTGTGAGTCGCTTTCACAAGGACAAGGCCATCACAAGGGTAGACTCTCAAAAGTGAGGCTGACGCATTTCGAAGGGGGTCCCCCCTTCATCAGAGCTCTGATGAAGAAGGGACCCCTTTCGAAACACGTCAACCTCCCTTTGAGAGTCTAGACTGGTAATGTGACTCGCACTGGTTCTACTCTCCCAAGTTCCTGTGAGGACCTTTTAATGCTTGTTATACTTCGTTTGTGAGTATTATTCTTTATTCAATAAAATCAGTTTTACTGTGGATAATGCACAAGGTTGGTGTGCTCTTTTTGTTTCACATCATGCATGGCTGCAGTCAGGAGCGGCGTGCACCATTTGAGCTCTATTTATATTCCTTCACATGTAAGTATGCAATCTGTAGTCTAATACATTTTAGGATTCATGCACTATGGAAATCTTTTGCTTCATGTGCTAATGTAGTTACAGCTTGCTGTGTGGACACCTTGGCTGATAGCGGAGTGAGTGTTTTGGATGTCTGAATTCCTGTGGCATAATTTATCTTTATCAGAGGCCACTGTCAGTAAATTGGCATTGCCATAGGGACAAAAAATAAGTGGGTTTGGGCTTTGTTAGTGGGGCCAAACCATATGATAAGCGACCTGTTTGCTCACTGGTGCTGTGAAGGTCCATCAAAGTAGCTGCTAAGAAGTGTGGGTGATCAGCACTGATCTTTGGATAAACTTTTTGAGTTTGACAACTTTTATGGTAATTGAAGTGGAAGTGGCAGGGAAGGAGTTGCATTAAATTGGCCGTCTGTTGTATCTATTTTGCACAATATATGGGATAGAGTTGTCTTTGTTATATACACAGGGGTTTTTTTTTTTTGTGTGAAGTAGCTGTGAACAGGTTGGATGAGACTTGCTTCACTCACAAATGTGTATATGGAGCGGGTAAAATGAGTATTGAACACGTCACCATTTTTCTAGGTAAATATATTTTACCACATGTCGGTAACAACCCATGCAAATCAATACATACAAAGAAACCAAAACAAATATGTTCAGAAATTAAGTTATGTGTAAAAAAATGGAATGACACAGGGAAAAAGTATTGGACACACTAACTGAAATGTATTTAATGCTTTGTACAAATTCCTTTGTAATGACAGCTTCAAGATGCTTCCTGTATGGAGAAACTAGTCGCATGCATTGCTCAGGTGTGATTTTGGCTCATTTTTCCACACAAATCTTGATGGCTGTGGGCCTCTTCTATGAACTCTGATCTTTAGTTTTTTCTACAGATTTTCTATTGGTTTCAAGTCAGGTGATTGGCTGGGCCATCCTAGCAGATTTATTTTCATTCTTTGAAACCAATTGAGAGTTTCCTTGGCTTTGTTTGGGATCATTGTCTTGCTGAAAAGTCCACCCTCATTTCATCTACATCATCCTGGTAGATGGCAGCAGATTTTTATAAAGAATGTCTTGGTACATTTTTCCATTTATCCTTCCTTCAATAAGCAGTTGGTCAGTACTGTATGTTGAAAAACAGCCCCACAGCATGATGCTCCCATCTCCACTGTTGTTATGGTGTTCTTGGGGTCATGTGCAGTGCCATTTGACCTCCAAACATGGTGTGTATTATGGCATCCAAGGAGTTCAGTTTTGGTCTCATCTGACCAGATTATATTCTCCCAGTATTTCACAGGCTTGTCTAAATGTTGTGCAGCAAACTTTAAACGAGCTTCAACATGCTTTTTCTTCAGCAGTGAAGTCTTGCATGGTGAGCGTGCGTACAGGCCATGGCAGTTGAGTGCATTACTTATTGTTTTCTTTGAAACTGCTGATTCCAGGTTTTTCTGATGCTCTCGAAGTGCTCCCTGGCTCTTGGGAAATTCTTCTAATAATTTTTTACACTCCGTCATAAATCTAGCGAGGAGTGCCTGGTAGTAGCCAGTTTATGGTGAAATGATGTTCATTTGACTTCTGGATTATGGCCCCAACAGTGCTCATTGGAACAATCAGTTTAGAAATCTTGCTGTAGCCAATGCCATCAGTATGTTTTGCTCTTTGCTTTTACCCATCATGAGATGTTTCTTGTGTGACACCTTGGGAATGAGAAGTCTTTTTATAGGCCATCAGTTAAGACTGTACCAGCTGATTTTAATTTGCACTGACAAAGTGCAGGGTTGCTTTCTAATTACTGATAGATTTCAGCTGGAGTCTTGGCTTTCCATGCCTTTTTTGCACCTCTCTTTCTTCATGTGTTCAGTACTTTTTCCCTGTGTCATTCCATTTTATTACACATAACTTAAATTTCTGCACTTAATTGTTTTGGTTTCTTTCTATGTATGGATTGCAGGGGTTGCTAATGGCCTGTGGTGAAAATCCCATGGCAATAGTACCTTTAGAAGTATATTTACTGAGAAAAATGGTGACACATTCAATACTTGTTTCACCCACTGTAGTATTTGATATGATTTAGTGACTTGAATTTAATCACATATTTAGTCAACCATTGGTGGAGTTAGCACATCTACATAGTGTTTGTATTCAGGTACATTGTGGATTGCGGCTTTCTCATTTATTTTGGTTCAACACACATTTTTCACTAAGCGTAGGGGTTTATGCATAATGCAGATATCTATTTCTGGTAAATACTGCACAGCAATGAAACTACCCTATGTAGTTTTTTTTTTCTCCTTCATACTTACCACCTTGCACTGATTTAAGGTGTCACTCACATGACTGTAAAAAACAAAAACCTGATCATTAAGGCAAGGAACAAAAGTTATTAGATCTGTTTTTAAATGTGTAAAAGTTGTCATGTTCTTTTTTTTTTCCCCCCAATGGTATGCATGTATACAAGTCTTTAGATGCAGATTTTTGGTTACAGATCTGAATGCAGTGCATGTTTACACATCGGTGTGAGAATTCAGATCTGTAAATAAAAAAATGGTTGTGACTTTTTGTACAGCAATGTGAATAAGGTCTAAAGTGTCATGTTTTATTTATTAAGCAAAAAAAAAAAATCTAGAATACTTGTATTTAAAAAAAAACAAATTTTATTTTTTCACAGGGACCTCTACAAGAAAAAAAAAATGCAAGAGGTTCCTTCATCACTAAGGATCTATTATATAACCTATGTAGCTTCCACAGGAGGAATAGATGTTATTTTTACAGCAATGAATTAATTTACAAGTAACATCCAATCAGAACTGGTGGAAAATGAACTGCAGTGCAATATACTGCAAGACCTGTGTATCCAGTAGTGTGATTAGCTGAAGAAATACGTAGAATCTTTTACATTCTGCACGTTAAATGTACCTACAATGGGAGAAAAGAGGATAAATATGGAACAATAGCATTTTAGACAACACAGGACACAAAGAACAACATGCTACCCTTCTTACCTAGTGCTGGTATGTTTCTGAAGTGGGACTTCAACTGCTCACGGAATGATGACCTATGCTGTGAACTGAATGGCACAACACAGTCAGAAAGCTGTTGCTAGGGGTAGCCATATATAAAGGCAGTTTGAATACTGATACCTTTTTATTTTTAATGGGAGAAGGTAGAATATAAAGAGTGTAAAGAGACCCCTGTGATAGACACAACATTCCCTTGCAGTAGTAATTTAGATGTGCATTCACATCTTTGAACAAAAGTTTGTAAGAAGTTGATCATTAGATCGACTTCACGAGAAAGGCTACTACTGTACTGAAATTAACCAGTCGCTGCTGATCTGCTGAAATTTCGATCCAGCTACCCAAGGGCTAGCTTAACTAATACAGTATCTCACAGACGTGAGTACACCTCTCACATTTTGTAAATATTTTATTCTATCTTTTCATGTGACAACACTGAGAAATTACACTTTGCTACAATGTAAAGTAGTGAGTGTATAGCTTGTATAACAGTGTAAATTTTCTGTCCTCTCAAAATAACTCAACACATACCACTGGCAATAAAAGTGAATGTCCAAATTGGGCCCTTTTCCTTGCCAGTGTCATGTGACTTAGTGTTACATTTGGTGTTATCACTCTCTTACTGGTCACTGAAAGTTCAACATGGCACCTCATGGCAAAGAACTCTCTGAGGATCTGATAAAAAAAAAAAAATAATAATTTTTGCTCTACATAAAGATGGGGTAGGCAACCTGTGGCTCTCCAGCTGTTGCAGGACTACAAGTTCCATCATGCCTCTGCAAGTCATAGCTGTAACTATCAGTTTTGTAATGTTGCAATGCCTCATGGGAAATGTAGTTCCACAACAGCTAGAGAGCCACAGGTTGCCTGGCCTAGGCTATAAGAAGATTGCCAAGACCCTGAAAATGAGCTGCAGCACAGTGGCCAAGACCATACAGCGGTTTAACACGACAGGTTCCACTCAGAACAGGCCTCGCCATGGTAAACCAAAGAAGTTGAGTGCGTGTGTTCAGCATCATATCCAGAGGTTGTCTTTGGGAAATAGACGCTGCCAGCATTGCTGCAGAGGTTGAAGGGGGGGGGGGGGGGGGGGGTCAGCCTGGTAGTGCTCAGACCATACACTGCATCAAAGTGGTCTGCATGGCTGTCACCCCAGAAGGAAGCCTCTTCTAAAGATGATGCACAAGAAAGCCCACAGTTAGCTGAAGACAAGCAGACTAAGGACATGAATTACTGGAACCATGTCATGTGGTCTGATGAGACTAAGATATACTTATTTGGTTCAGATGGTGTCAAGCGTGTGTGGCAGCAACCAGGTGAATACAAAGACAAGTGTGTCTTGCCTACAGTCAAGCATGGTGGTGGGGGTGTCATGGTCTGGGGCTGCATGAGTGCTGTCGGCACTGGGGAGCTACAGTTCAGTGAGGAAACCATGAATTCCAACATGTACTGTGACATATTCAAGCAGAGCAGGATCCCCTCCCTTCGGAGACTGGGCCGCAGGGCAGTATTCAAACATAATAACAACCCCAAACACACATCCAAGATGACCACTGCCTTGCTAAAGACTCTGAGGGTAAAGGTGATGGACTGGCCAAGTATGTCTCCAGCCTTAAACCCTATTGAGCATTTTTGGAGCATCCTCAAATGGAAGGTGGAGAAGAACAAGGTCTCTAACATCCACCAGCTCCGTGATGTCATTGTGGAAGATGACTCCAGTGGCAATATGTGAAGCTCAGGTGAACTCCATGCCCAAGAGGGTTAAGGCAGTGCTGGAAAAATAATGGTGGCCACACAAAATATTGACACTTTGGGCCCAATTTGGACATTTTCACTTAGAGGTGTACTCACTTTTGTTGCCAGCAGTTTAGACATTAATGGCTGTATGTTGAGTTATTTTGAGGGGACAGCAAAATGTATACTGTTATACAAGCTGTACACTCACTACTTTACAGTGTAGCAAAGTGTCATTTCTTCAGTGTTGTCACATGAAGATAGAACGTACTCACTTCTGTGAGATACTGTATATACTTTTTTTTTTTTTTTTTTTTTTTTTAACTGTGAGCACAAATTTGTTTTATAGAATAAGCTTCAAACAAAATAAATATAATTGTTAGAGTTACACCTTTATATACATTAGACTTTTAAAACATAAAAAAAAAAACTAAACTGGCACAATTTGTTGACCTTGGCTTAAAAGATAAGCTGAAAGAATTTTCAATAACACTTGCACTTACAGTCAGGTCCATAAATATTGGGACATCGACACAATTCTAACATTTGTGGCTCAATACACCACGACAATGGATTTGAAATGAAACAAACAAGATGTGCTTTAACTGCAGACTGTCAGCTTTAATTTGAGGGTATTTACATCCAAATCAGGTGAACGGTGTAGGAATTACAACAGTTTGCATATGTGCCTCCCACTTGTTAAGGGACCAAAAGTAATGGGACAGAATAATAATCATAAATCAAACTTTCACTTTTTAATACTTGGTTGCAAATCCTTTGCAGTCAATTACAGGCTGAAGTCTGGAACGCATAGACATCACCAGATGCTGGGTTTCATCCCTGGTGATGCTCTGCCAGGCCTCTACTGCAACTGTCTTCAGTTCCTGCTTGTTCTTGGGGCATTTTCCCTTCAGTTTTGTCTTCAGCAAGTGAAATGCATGCTCAATCGGATTCAGGTCAGGTGATTGACTTGGCCATTGCATAACATTCCACTTCTTTCCCTTAAAAAACTCTTTGGCTGCTTTTGCAGTATGCTTTGGGTCATTGTCCATCTGCACTGTGAAGCGGTGTCCAATGAGTTCTGAAGCATATGAGCAGATAATATTGCCCGAAACACTTCAGAATTCATCCTGCTGCTTTTGTCAGCAGTCACATCATCAATAAATACAAGAGAACCAGTTCCATTGGCAGCCATACATGCCCACGCCATGACACTACCACCACCATGCTTCACTGATGAGGTGGTATGCTTAGGATCATGAGCAGTTCCTTTCCTTCTCCATACTCTTCTCTTCCCATCACTCTGGTACAAGTTGATCTTGGTCTCATCTGTCCATAGGATGTTGTTCCAGAACTGTGAAGGCTTTTTTAGATGTCGTTTGGCAAACTCTAATCTGGCCTTCCTGTTTTTGAGGCTCACCAATGGTTTACATCTTGTGGTGAACCCTCTGTATTCACTCTGGTGAAGTCTTCTCTTGATTGTTGACTTTGACACAAATACACCTACCTCCTGGAGAGTGTTCTTGATCTGGCCAACTGTTGTGAAGGGTGTTTTCTTCACCAGGGAAAGAATTCTTCGGTCATCCACCACAGTTATTTTCCATGGTCTTCCAGGTCTTTTGGTGTTGCTGAGCTCACCGGTGCATTCCTTCTTTTTAAGAATGTTCCAAACAGTTGTTTTGGCCACGCCTAATGTTTTTGCTATCTCTCTGATGGGTTTGTTTTGTTTTTTCAGCCTAATGAGGGCTTGCTTCACTGATAGTGACAGCTCTTTGGATCTCATCTTGAGAGTTGACAGCAACAGATTCCAAATGCAAATAGCACACTTGAAATGAACTCTGGACCTTTTATCTGCTCATTGTAATTGGGATAATGAGGGAATAACACACACCTGGCCATGGAACAGCTGAGAAGCCAATTGTCCCATTACTTTTGGTCCCTTAACAAGTGGGAGGCACATATGCAAACTGTTGTAATTCCTACACCGGTCACCTGATTTGGATGTAAATACCCTCAAATTAAAGCTGACAGTCTGCAGTTAAAGCACATCTTGTTAATTTCATTTCAAATCCATTGTAGTGGTGTATAGAGCCAAAAATTTTAGAATTGTGTTGATGTCCCAAAATTTATGGACCTGACTGTAACTATTAGGGCCTTTTCACACGGTTGGATCTGCCTTCTCAGTGGAGGATCTAGCTGCTGATTCCCATTGAGCAGGCGTATAACAGGTTCGTGTCCGCTCTGCCCACGGTTCTGTATGGGGAGATTAGATGTAAATGGACCACCTGTCCGTTTACATCCAGCTGTTGTCCAATCTGCTAGACAGGGCAATCCCCATCAGATGCAGGCGGGTGTAAACAGACAAATGTCCATTTACATCCACCTTCCCCCTAGAGAACAATGGGTTTCTTGATTGGGTCTGCCTAAAAAATGAACAGGTGGATCAGATTGGTTCACCTTTATGAAAGGGCCCTTACTGTGCGCTGTGAAAGAAACTGAAAGTGCTTGGTGAGTGTACCAAAGTCACAGCACATACATACAAGGAGCATGAGCAGAGAGCATATGGAGGATACTTACAAAAACTAAATCAGTTACAGCAAGAAATAGGGAAATCCTTTTGAAGAACAGATTGACAAAGTATACGTTTCCACTACTGCAAGTCTTTAAAAGAAAATGTTATGTCTGTTGACAGGGTCTTTAACATCCCATCACAGAGGTAAGAGAACACAGCATCATTTATGCTTACTATTTAAAAAGGTGATTTTTTTTTTTCTACTGCCCCACCAACCAATCTAGAAAAAAAGAATTTAACTTCTAAAGAGAACAAAAAATTGGATTTTTGTACTTATAAAATCCTTTCCTCTGATGCTAGGTTGTTTTTTATTCCCAAACTGTAATATCACTTACTGTCCATTTCTACTGTAGGTTTCAGTCCATCACTGGGGTTGCTTATCATCATCAAGCTTTGTTTTTCAGTACAGGATAGAGAAATCTAAATGCCAGTTCACATATGTGTGGATTGGATGTGATTTGAACCACATCCAATCCACAGGACATGTAAAATAACATTGCTTCATATGGGGTCTGTTCACACATGTCCACTGCACTGGTGGTACAGATTCAGTGCAGTTTGCTCAGAAATCGGACAGGACTCTTTTTCAGGGTGGTCCGGTTCAGGTGCAGATCACAGGCTATTGACTGCTATGGGAACTGTTCCTAAACTGCATGTGTGAACAGGATAAAATCTTGACCTAATCCTGTCCTGAACCTGATGTAAACCTGACCTGAACAACTACTGTGTCAATTAGCTGTGAAACCTGAGCTTCAATCCGCACCACATGTGTGACTCAGCTCTAAGTGTATAAAAGTAAAACTCTACCAAAGTTTTTTTTTTTCTTTTTCTTTTAGAGATACGCATTTAAAAGTAATCAGCTTGATGTAAAGCTTCTTAGAAGCATGTTTTAATATGTTAGCATGCACTATGTATATAGATGCTATTTACAGTGGGTATGGAAAAGAATCACCACCCCTTTAAAATAATCACATTTTGTTGCTTTGCAGCCTGCAATGAAGACAGTTTTTGTTTTATCCAGCTCTATTTACTTAGTGCAGCTTATAACATCCAAGAGAAAGATATAACACCAACATGTCAGAAAAAAAAAAAATTCTAAAAACAGAATCACTAAGTTGGAAAAAAAGATCACCCGCCTCCAAAAAAAAATGACTGATTAGCGCAGCATGAAAAGAGCTTTCCTGGAGCATTTCAGGCCCTGGTAGCGCAACTGCAGTGACAATCAACTATGGGGGGCAAGGCACTGTCAAAAGATCTACAGGATATAGTTGTGGACAGGCACAAGATGGGATGGATACAAAAAATGTCAAAGGCCTTTATCAAGGCCTAGAAGCACAATGAAGTCTATTATTAAAAGAGAAGTATGGGTTTTCTTTTTTTTTGTAGCTTTATCCTATTCCCTGTGAGCTGCTAATACGTAAAAATCGTTCCAGCCCTATTTAGAAATCTCCATAGTTACATGTATGGTAGTTATATTCTGCGAGTCAATGGGAACACAGGATTCAGAAACAACTGGGATGTCCAAAAGCAGTTCAACTAAGGGGTGAGCAATGTAGGCTAACAAGTTCAACAACGAAAAACAACTTACACTGCAACTCAAATAGAAGACTGTAAAACAATGTCTAATGTCTAACAGAAGAGGCTGAAACATGCAATGGAAGAACGTAGAGAACGTAAAACAAGGTGGCAACCTTACAATTCTGGGAAAGTGAGGCCTGATGCCAAAATGCCCAAGAAGCACCCAGAACCCTAGTGCAGCGTTTTTCAACCACTGTGCCGCGGCACACTAGTGTGCCGTGAGATATTGTCTGGTGTGCCGTGGGAAAAATTCCAATTTCATCCGCAACATGTGGCCTCGGCTCACAAATAGACCAATCGTTAGAATCTAATGATTGGTCTATTTGTGAGCCGAAGCGCATGTTACGGACTATAAATAGCTCCGGTGTCACTGTTACACTGACAGGAGAAGACATCGCAGTAGATCGCCGATGCGCAGAAGAGCACCGAAGGATCTGGACTCTGGAGGATTATCGCGGACTCAGCACAGAAGAGCGCTGAGTGATGGATCTGGAGGAGACAGGAGCAGAAGAGCGCTGACTGATGGATCTGGATGGAGTGTGACGGACAGCGGCTATCTGGAGGAGACAAGCGCAGTAAGTACTGAGTGACAGTGAGACAGGAACAGATACTGCAGTGATGGACAAATTTTTGAAAAGGAAAGAACTGGACTCTGAACAAAATTCGGAGCCAGATAAGAGCCCAAGTATGAGTGGGGATCAAAAGAAAGCAAAGATGGTTAGCTCAAGGAAATTCTCTGGCACAAGGCAATATAGCGAAAGCTATATTTCATTTGGATTTACTTTCACCGGAGATGCAAAGAAACCAACTCCACTGTGTGTGGTGTGTGGTGAAAAGCTATCTAACAG